TCTTTTTGAGACAGGGTCTCCTATGCAGTTCAGGCTGGCCTTGAGCTCACTTTGTAGCCCAGGCTGGTCTCCAACTTGCTACGATCCTCCTGTCTCAGCCTCCGGAGTGCTAGGATTACAGGCGTGTGCTACCACGCTCGGCATAACTTCTTTGATTCTGGACATAATTAAGTAAAACTTGGAAAATAATTTAGAGCACTCCATTATGTGGGCTAAATGTGTTTATTGTGTTAACTGTTAAGATTATTGCTGATTTCCCGCTAATGGGGTATTGATTCACTATAAATGACCTCTTCTACCAAGCCTAACACATCTTTTTGTGGGTTGCCTCCCGTATACCTTCAGGAATCATAGCTCACTATTTAGAGTTCCAAGATTTCCAGGGGAATCTAAAATGTATCCTGGATTTTTCTGTAAAGAAACCACAGAACACTGTGTCTGACACTTTTGGCATATCTAAGGGATAAGATGACTGTGAAAGATGTCACGTTTAAGTGCATACAAGATGCTTTTACGTTACACTGGGTAGTGGTCTGTGTCATGAGATTCTAAGTGGTTGGTTGCACAGAATTTCCTCTTTGTACAAAATTTTTTCAGTGAGATCCTTTAAGCATTTGCTTCAGAAGGAGAATCTACTATAAGTCTCCTTTCTTCCAAAGAGTAATAGGAAATTTTATAAATCAATTTTCCTTTTGTTTACAATAAAAATACCCCATCAGCTGGCCTGTTTTGTCCTGTTCATGCTAAGGTGGCTGCCTTATCTCACACCGCTCCGAGCCTTCCCCAAGCTGTAAGATTTTTGTTTGTTTTGTTTAAGAGTAAGGATTTATCAGCCCCATCTTAGATATAAAGTTTCATTCACTCATTTATTAACCCAACAGATATTTATTGGCCTTATCACCTGTGGGAAGGTAACTTAATAGAATATGAATCCACATGCTGCACAGTTCCTGGTCTTCAGAAGTTCAGCACTCCTATGGCGGCGGGGAGATGCATGCACAGCCGGCGGAACTACAGGTTCTAACAATTCCGACCTCTGACCGTTTCTTGACTCGTTCCCCTCCCTGTCATGGGCAAGCCTGCTATGTTAGCTCAAGCCATCCATAGCTCTTTTGGTTTTCTGCAGCAATCACTCGTAACATTGCTCCTCCACAAAACAAAACAAAAGAAAACATCACTCCTTGTCCCCAGTCGTGCCTGCTTCAAATCTATTCTTCACAATGTTCTTTCTAAAATGCTATGCTAAATTGGATCTGGTGGGGCACTCCTATAATTCCAGCACTCAGAAGGCTGAGGCAGGAGAATCACTGTGAGTTCAAAGCTAGCCTGGGCTACAGTGAACTCAAGGCCAGCTTGAATTACAGAGTGAGACTCTGTCACTAAATAAATGAATAAATAATCTGTCCCATCTCTGTCCTGCAGTCACTCCAGCCAATCAGGGTATTTGTTTTTCTGAGATAGGGTCTTTCTCTATAGTCCAGAAGGCTGGCCTTGAACTCACTGTGTAGCCCAGGTTAGCCTCAAATTTGTGATTCCCCTGCCTCAGCCTTTTGCATGTTGAGATTACAGGCCTGAACCATCATACCTGACTTGTTTGATTTTTTTCTAACTGTGGAAGTAAAGGGTATTTCTCATCACTGTAACACCAGCCCTGGCACAGTACATGACACATGGGGGCACTCAAAGTATTAGTTAAGTGAATGAATAACTAAATACAGGAAATGCTTCCATAAGCTCTACATTCACAAAATTCCTAACGATAAAAACATTTCTCTACCTCTCTTTATCTATTCTAATGTTTAAGAAGAAAGGAATACACAGAAGGATTGTCACTTAGCCAGAAAGGACACTAGGCAACTTTTTTTCTTGGAGATAGGGTGTCACTCACTATGTAGTGCAGGCTGGCCTTGAACTCACTATGTAGCCGAGGGTGGCCTTAAATTCTGGAGATCTTCCTACCTCAGTCTCCTGAGAGCTGGGATTACAGGCATGAGCCACCACGACTGGCTAGCAAACTTTTTATAGTTTGACCAATTCAGACATGGTGATAACCTTTGTCTAGAAAGGGCAAGCCTTGGAGGAGAATCCAGATCTGATTCTAAATATTTTTTACTGTCATCTTTTGTAATTCCAACTTTTAAAAGAATTAGCATCATTTATAAAAATGTTGTTTTGAGCTGAGCACATGCCTGCAATCTGTGTACTCAGAAGCCGAAAGCAGGAGATTGCCTCAAATTCAAGGTCAGCCTGGGTTACACAGGGAGACCCTATGTAAAAACAACAACAAACAAAAGTTGTTTGGTCCTGTGTAATTTGTTGGTTTTTTTTTTAATACAGCTCAAACTTGTCTCTCCACAGTGTATTTACTATGGAATCATAGGTCTTGAGATTTTGGAATTCAGGTATGGAATTTGTCAAAGATTGTATTCTAGGCCAAGCATAGTGATGCATGCCTGTAATCCCAGCACTTGGGAGGCTAAGATAGGAGGATTGCTTCAAGTTTAAGGTCAGCATGGGCTACATAGTGAGTTCAAGGCCAGCCGGGACTACAGGAAAGACCCTGTCTTTTGTTTTATTTTTTGAGACAGGGTCTCACTATGCATTTCAGCCTTGTCTTGAACTATGTAGTCCAGGGTGGTCTCAAACCCACTTAACAGGCATAACAGTAGGCTTGGAGCCCAAGCAGGCTGCAGTCTACCTTCTTCTGAGGCATCAGGAATAAGTGAACTCTTTTGATGGAAAAATGATGACCTGTTTCAACATCTAACTGCCCCTGGTTTTTCTTTTTTGCCCCTGGTTTTTCTATCACAGGCTTATTTACTTCAAGGATTGGATTTGTATCTTCATTTTGTTTTTTTGAGACAGGGTCTCACTATGCAGTTTAGGCTGGCCTTAAGCTCACTTTGTAGCCCAGTCTGGTCTCCAATTTGCAGTGATTCTCCTGCCTCAGCCACCTGAGTGCCGGTATTACAGGTGTGCACCATCACGCCCAGCTTGTTTTTTATTCAGTATAATAAAATTAGATATTAATAAACAATATATAAAAAGCACTCTTCTATTAAAAAAACAAAATTTCATAACAAAATAGTTAGAAAATAACATACTGTGTGTCATGATCTTAAAAGAATGGTTAAAATACTCAGAGTACAAGCTATAGACAAAAAAGCCTCTCTTAGAAAAAACAAACACAAGGACAAATTTTCTTTTCAGCTGGGTGTGGTGGTGCACACCTGTAATCCCAGCACTCGGAAGGCTGAGGCAGGAGGATCGTTGAGAGTTAGAGACCAGCCTGGGCTACAAAGTGAGCTCAAGGCCAGCCTGAGCTGCATATTGAGAACCTGTCTGAAAAATACAAAAAAACAAACAAACAAGAACAACAAAAAACTTTCTTTTCAATGAACATAAATTTACATATATCTTAAAATATTTTTGAAACAACAGAATAGTTTGCCAGCTTCTCCTCAGAGAACTAACCTCTAGCATATATAAAGAACTAAACAAAAATTAGATAATGCCAATAAAATCCCAAAATAAAGATGCAGTTAAAAAATGGGCAACAGGAATGAACAGACACTTCTCAGAAGAAGTACAAGTGGCCAATGAATACATGAAAAAATGTTTGACATTGCTGGCCACTAGAGAAATGCAAATTAGAACTACACTGAGATTCCATTTTACCCCAGAATGAACGGCTGTTGTAAAAAAAAAAAAAAAGCTAGTACGGATGTGGGGAAAAATGAACTCTTCTACATTGCTGGTGACTATGGAAATCAATATGAAGATTTCTCAAGAAAACTAAAAGTAGTAAAAAAAACCCAAAGAACTAAAAGTAGAAATTCCATGACCCAGCTATTTCTTTTCGAGGTATCTTCCCAAAAGAGTTAAAGTCATCATATTACAGAGATATTATCTTAGCTATGTTTATAGAAGCACAATTTATAACAGCTAGATGTTGGAAACAATATATGTCCATCAACAGATAAAAGGAAAAAGAAAATGTGGTACTTCTATAAAATGGAGTACTACTCTATCATACCATAAAGAAAGACAAACTTGAGTCGTTCACAAAATAAGTCAGACACACAAGTTTAAATACTCATAGTCTTTTTTTTTTTTTGACAGGGTCTTGCTGTGTAGCTCAGGCTGGCCTGGACTCACTATGTATACTATATAGTCCAGGCTGCCCTTGAACTCACAGTGAGTCTCCTGCCTCAGCCTCCTGAGTGCTGGTATTAGAGGCATGTGCCACCACGCCTGGCTCATGCTGTCTCTTATATGGCAAGCTCTCTCTCCCTCTCCTTTCCCCTCCCTCACTCTCTTTCCCCTCTGAAATAATAGGAAATAATAGCTGGGAGTGGTGGCACAGCCTGTAATCCGAGCACTTGGGAGGCTGATGCAGGAGGATCACTGCAAGTTCGAGACCAGCCTGGACTACCCAGTGAGCTCAAGGCCAGCCTGAACTGCATAGTGAGACTTTGTCTCAAAAACAAAAACAAAAAACAAACCAAAATAAGTAAATAAGTAGGAAAATAAAATATTTTCTTCTTTGCAAGCTGTTGGATGAGAATTTTCATTGACATTCCATTTCAAGAGTCTCTCTTCTGCCCTCCCAGTTTCTCCAAGCTGAGAATGAAGAGGGACTGGAAGAACGAATGTTCGTACAAATACAAAAATTACGTTTAATTTTTTGGCACCAATTTTGCATGCTTATATCTGGTAATCTGAACACCTAATTTGAAGACAACCATGTGCAACATAACAGCCATTGTTGAATTCCTATCATCTTGTTTAGTGAAATTCTCTATCTTGCTAATGGTTTTTTATTATTTTTTATTCTTTAAAATAAAAATTACATACTTGAAATCAAGCAATTACTGTAAAAGAGTTTGTACAAAAGGATATAATTTCACACACACACATTTCATAGATAAATGGCAGATAGCCACATCTACAGAGGATTAGAATTACTGACATGATGACTGTACCAGTCCATACATTTATGTATTTTTCACTTCACTTTTAAGTTCAAAGTGGTTTAAACTAGGTGTGGTGATGCACACTTGTTATCCCAGCACTTGGGAGGCTGAGGCTGAGGCAGGAGGATCACTGTGAGTTTGAGGCCAGCCTGGGCTACACAATGGGTTCACGGCCAGCCTGAACTGCATAGCAACACCCTGTCTCAAAAGGAAAAAAAAAAAAAAGAAAAGAAAAGAAAAAAAAGTGGTTTGCAGCTGGGTGTGGTGGTACATGCCTATCTCTGGGAGGCTGAGGCAGCATGATCACAAATTGGCAATTTAGTGAGACCTTATCTCAAAATTTTGAAAAAGTGAAAAGGTGCTTGGGTATAGCTCAATAAAGGCTCTATGTTCCACCCCCGGCCCCCACACCCACAGTAAATGTTGCTTGAATAGTTACTCATCTGAAAATCTCCAGAATCTAGTTACCTTTAGATTGTGTTGCTGTTGGTAGTGGTATTGATGTGGTTCTGGGAATCAAACCCTTTTCATACATGCAAAGCAGGCATTCTATAGTCATCAGCCCAAATTCTAGTTACATTACAAATAGAGTTGTATTGGCAAACCATGATAGACCCTCCTCCTCCTCCTCCTTGTTGTTTTGAGACAAGGGTCTTACTTTTTTTTGTTTGTTTTGTTTTGGTACTGGGAATTGAACTCAAGACTTTGTACTTGCCAGGTAGGCACTTGTGCCACTGAGCTATATCCCGGCCCCCTCACTATGTAGTTCAAGTTTTGTAATCTTAGCATTTGGGAGGCTGAGGCAGGAGGATTGCCAGGAGTTGAAAGCCACCTGGGCTATGTAGTGAGATCAAGGCCAGCCTGGACTATATAGTGAAACCCTATTTCAAAAAACCAAAACCAAATCAACCAAAAAGACCCTATTATAATTACATGTAGTTCTCCCAAGAGACATTTTTTTCTTTCTCTGATGGTCTATTTTTTTTTGTTGTTTTTTTTTCCAGTACCAGGAACCAAACTCATGACCTTGTGCTTGCCAGGCAGGCGCTGTGCTGCTGAGCTACATCCCCAGCCCCAGAACATAAAGCCTATTTTTTTTTTTTCCTGGCACCAGGAATCGAACTCACGACCTTGCACTTGCCAGGAAGGCACTGTGCTGCTAAGCTAAATCCCTAGCCCCTGATAGTCTAGAATTTATATTCAAATGGAGAAGAATATAAGAATATAAACTAAGAGGTTTTATTTCTTTTAGGAAACATCCTAACACTTCATTCATTTTATCTATCAA